TTAGATGAAGAGGAACAGCACAGGCTTATCGGCAGGGACAGAAAAACCTCAGACATCAGATTAGAAAGCTGAATACTAAAAGAGGAAAGTAAACAAATACCCCCCCCCAAAAAAAATTACAACTTCATGAATTCTCTGAAAGCAAAGAAAAATATCAAATGCTGAAATAGCCCTTTCAATGTTTCATCACCAATTCTTGTGAATCTTACCTGGTTTCATTGCAATACGCTTCTTTTCCAAGCTTATAAGGCAATAAAATATCATATACAACATAAAATACTGGCATTTCTATGTAAAAAAAGCCCAAAGAAATCAGAGTGTTTTTGAAGGCCTACTGGATAAAAACTTAATAAGCAAACTTTCTCATATAAAAGCATTGGAGGGGTTTGTGTGTGGTTTTTTAAAAAACATTACTTAAAGGATACTTAAAGGATACATACTTACCTGTGTTGCCAGAGTTAAATTCACCCACTGTTTTCCGTTTTAAGATGTTGTACTCCTTTTTGATTTCCATTCTAATATTTTTCTATGTTTTATTTGGTTGGAGTCAGTTTTTCTGTGCTTACCATATTCTTCAGTCTGAATTACAGTGGTGAATTTCAGCAAACACTGCTTTTCAGAATAATATTATGAGAAAACAGTAAAATCAGATATTATTTTTTTCTTTTTTAAACATCTATGGAAACAGAAATAAGGGAAAAGTCAGAAGAGGCAACTGTGATAAAAGATGAGGTCCTCAGAAACATGCATTTCTTTTGCCACAGGTGTTTTAAATTAGACACCTAAATTGATGAAAACTAATGGATTTTATCATTAATTTCATGTTCTCACTTCCCCTCTGTAATTAGCATGTTGCTTACTAGGACGCTACTGGAGTCAGTTTTTCTGTGCTTACCATATTCTTCAGTCTGAATTACAGTGGTGAATTTCAGCAAACACTGCTTTTCAGAATAATATTATGAGAAAACAGTAAAATCAGATATTATTTTTTTCTTTTTTAAACATCTATGGAAACAGAAATAAGGGAAAAGTCAGAAGAGGCAACTGTGATAAAAGATGAGGTCCTCAGAAACATGCATTTCTTTTGCCACAGGTGTTTTAAATTAGACACCTAAATTGATGAAAACTAATGGATTTTATCATTAATTTCATGTTCTCACTTCCCCTCTGTAATTAGCATGTTGCTTACTAGGACGCTACAAACAGAAACTCACTTAGATAGCATAGTAATATTTTTTTACATTAGCAAAATAATTCTGCCTTCAAAAAGGAGTTGAAATAGTAAAAAAAAAATAAAAACCAGGGAAACAGCCTGAAAAATCACTATCAGATTGTATTTCCAATATGTATTCTGTCCATTACGTTTGAATCCAATGGGTGAATTCGCAAATAATTTAAAAATAGGGCATACCATAATTCATATGATCAAAGAGAAGAATTTGTTGCATGGGTAATCCTAATTATAGCATTTAATGACTTCTGAATGCTTGAAAAATGCCTATCCTTTCAGGCAGTAAACATCTCCATACCTCCTAGTCCTTATCAATGCCTATCCTTTCAGGCAGTAAACATCTCTAGCCCTTATGTGTTCCCATTTGACATCTTGTATCCCTATCAATGGTTTAAACCAGCTAATATTCAAAGTAAGGTGTACAGATCAGTCAGGAAGCACTTATGGGACTGAAAATGAAGATTATGACCGAGACTTAATCCGTTATTGCCATCGATAATGGCTTTTTGTTTGTGTGTTTAGGTGGTTTAGTGAATCCATGTCATCAACAAAACTCGGAGGAAAAAAACCCCTATTTACTTATTTCATACGAATTGCAACAACACACAAATCATGAAGGCCTGTGTTACCCATCCTTTCTGTTATACACATCTGATTGGTTTTAATAATGATGCGGACCCTTTCTCCTGCTTTTTCCAATTTTACAGCATCCCTGGGACAGCTACACTCTCTGCTGTCATGATTAATGTACATAAATATAGCATTTTATTCTTTAATGTATGGAAGCAGCTAGACATGGGCAATGTTAATTCAGGCAGTCATTAACCAAAACGGGTCACTAGCAAATAATTATAGGTTGCTACTAAGAACCACTAATCTCAAGTCCACCTCCAAACTCTGTCATAGCAGAGAACAACTTTCCATCTTCGTATCTGCAAAATGATAGAATGGTTTGGGTTGGAAGGGACCTTAAAGTCCATCCAGTTCCAACCCCCCTGCCCCGGGCAGGGACACCTCCCACCAGACCAGGTTGCTCAAAGCCCCATCCAACCTGGCTGTGAACGCAGGGGAAAAAAGAGTCTCTCAAATCTGAACCTGTACCAAACATGAGATAGGTTTTCATCTTTAAATATTGATGGGGGCAATTTTGCCTGAAAGGTGGGGATATATAATTTACCTTGACTACAGTATGTGTGTTTACAGTGTACATTACTCTTTGTCCCCACCCTGAATGAAAGGTGAAGGAACATGGAAAAAGGTGAAAATGAGAAACTATATCTGCCTGTCACTTATTTTTATGCTATGAGAACATTAGTAAGTTTTTGATCTGTGGTCATTAAGATATTTTTGTGCAAATGCAATTAGAAGAGTTTGTTTGCTCTGACTCACCATATTTTCACTCTTATTGGTCTGCAGTTGTTTAGATTTTTGTACTATTTACTTTTTTTTTTTCCAGGGAGAAGTCAGTAATATATTGCTGTCCAAGACAGTGTGTATTATATATATGTGAAGAGAAGGAGAAATAAACTTTCATTTGTAAACAAGGAGTAAAAATCATACCTCAGCTTTATCACTGACAACAGGAAGGAGGAAATTTAAATTCTTACATTTTATTTGCAGCAGTGCTTAAAACTAGATTTGCAAATGCAGACTGGAAACTCTTCTATCCTTTTTCTAAAGAAAAAGCAGACACATCACAATATGGACAAATCAATTTCAATTGCTTCTTGTCCAAATAAACAGTGCTAAACCTCAAGATCTTGGGTAAAGATTCAAAATCAGGAAATGAAAAAACGAACAATAAAATGCGAAGGTCAGACGGGATCAACCTCTTCTTATCCCTTCTCTTTCATACTGCTGAGAAGTGCAGAGGAAGGGATGAAATGTGTTGATGCCGGACTGTATCATTACTAACAGACTGTTATTTACAATTTCAGCCTAGAAGCCTTGGAAAGTACTTTATCACTTGATCTTCAAACTGGTATTTGTGGCTCGTCAGCCTCTCTCCATTTTATGAGCATTTGTACCGCAACTGCATCAAGAAGCCCTAGAGCAATGTAGTTAAGCTCTATTGAACTCTATGGAGGTTTAAAGATAAGGGAGTTATTTCTGTCAAAGCTAACATGAAAAAATGTATTTGCTGCTTCATAATTGCCAGAGACTGGCAAAAAGGCATTATTTTTCATTATTTCCTTTTTTGTACTCTTGCCATCGGAACCTAGTCTTGCACCAGCAAGGGCTACGGAGCACTGTGAATACTGGGGGCACTCCGGTCTCAAGGGTATGTTGTCCTTATGGAGTGGCTTTTGTTGCACGTTTCCTCTTACTATTAAAAACTCACAATTAAAGTGCCTCTCATGAACATGGTGCATCCCCAGCCTCTCAGTAGTTGGCCACACAAACAGGGCTCTCTGCATGCTGGTGAGGATGAACGTTCAGAGCGAAGGCTTCTCTTGGATCAGTACTCCTGAAAAGCATTGATCCTGCTCTCTTTTTAGAGATCTGAGAAAAATGCAGTAATTTCTGGAAGCTTTCCCAGCTAGGTTCTTTCCAGTTGATTTTTTTTTTTTTTTTGAAAAAAAGAAATATACTTGCTTTTGGAAGGGATTTTTTTTTTTTGAATAACTGAACCATCTCTCAAGAGGAGGCTCTATCACAGACTGAAAATCTGTCATATGGAATGACAAAATATTGTGGCAGCAAAATGTTCCGTGAACACTTACGTGGGGGGGATTATAGACTGGCAGAGGGAACAGTTTTTCTAAGACAGAGGAACTTCCAGAACTGACCCTGTCAATGAGTATCTGAAGGCAAAAGTAACTTGATTCGCTTTAAAGATGAATTGGAATTCTACTCAAAAGGAAAAGTGAAAAAGGAATGTGCTGCTTCTATAAAGAAGAGATGGAGATGTAAGTCTGGAAATGCAATACAAAAAGAACTAGCTATGTTTTTTTCATAAGTCTGCTTTGTGCATATTACTTTGTCAAAATTAAAATGGGTCATTTATCCAGAGGAGAATAATGATCTGAATCATCTCTGAGATCTCTAACAACGTGTTAATCAGATGTTTGGAGGTTTCCCCTTGGCCGGGCTTTTAGAACACAAGGAGAAACATGGTACCAAAATAAGTTTACAAATGACAAATTTCGTTTATTCCCAGTCCCTCAAAATGAATTGTGTTTTAAAAACACAGAACTGTTCTGCAACAGGCATAGGAATGAATTAAATTTTCTTTGTAAGTGTTTTGATCCTCAACATCTTCAGGAGGCAGATTACGTAGTGAATTTCTGCCTGTGGAAATGCTGTACTTTCTTAGTAGAGAAGGTGCACGTTAAATTATGTGATAAATCTGATCCATTTCCCACATGGAGAAGCTAATCCCAATCTCCGTATAAAGCTTTTTATTGTATTGAGTTTTATCTTTCATAGCCCTATGTAATCAAGAGCTATCCTCTGTATCTTGAATTAATTCATGTGACTAGCTTTTTACTGAAGTGCAAAAGTGGCACTGATCAAATACCTTGGAGTGAGTGATCCTGAAACCTGGCTTTGAGGAATACTACAACAGGGCTGTTAGCGATGAACTTTGTTTTGCCTGTCAGTGATCCAGGCATTTAAAACCCTTTTACTACATCTAGTTGCTGAATTACTACAGGAAAAAAGATGCATTATTAATATTTGGGTCTACCTTCCACCTGAAAAAGATATTTTCCGAAAAGCAATGTAAAGAAAGTAACTCTTAGCTGTGTTTGTATTAATCAGATCTGCCGAGGAACATAGTTCTTCCATTACTTTAATGTATGGCCTGGGAAGACTCTGCCTTTCTCTTTTTCACATTGCAAAAAATTCACCTTCCAGCCAAGGTTTTTCAAAAACTGGTTGTCAAAAAGTCATTGAGGTGTCATTTCATTGTTTGATGCTAGATACAAATTGACATTTAAAATAGATCTCTAGGAATTTCTGATATAGAATGTAATAAATTCAGTCCTTGGGAGCAAAAAAGGGTTTTCAAAAAGGTGTAGCTGCAACTGTGAGCAGGTTTCAACTCATTCCTTTTCTGGCTTCTGTTCTGTTATTGTCTGTTTGGTTTTTTCTCATTTAAACCCCCAGAATCTCGGCCACTACACTTGCCATACATGCTAGCAGGGCAAGCGTGGAGCATTTACCTAAGGTAAATGTTCTCCTTGAAGCTAGGTCCCACCCAAGGCAAGAGCACAACTGATGGAATCGTGCAGATGCCTTTGCTTTGTTATTCATTGTCATTTCAGAGAATGCCTGGCCAAAAGGGATTTATCTCTACAATATTCAACCTCAAAAAGGGCAGTAGACAAAGCCCTTGTTCTGCTTGCTGCAACCACAGCTGTAATCAGCCAAGGGACTTTTATTTTTCTTTCTTTTTTTCTCCTTTTTCCTTCTTTTTTTCCCTCTTCCCCTCCTTCCTCTTCCTCTCCCTTCCCCTTCCTCTTCCCCTTTATTTCGTTTCTCATTTTCCTTTCTATTTTTCATCAGAGAGGTGCTGATGCAGCAGGTTCTGTTCTCCTCAACATAAGGAGGACATGGAGCGGATCCAGAAGAGGCCACAGAGATGCTGGGAGGGCTGGAGCCCCTCTGCTGGGAGGGGGGGCTGAGAGAGTTGGGGGGTTCAGTCTGGAGAAGAGAAGGCTCTGGGGAGACCTTAGAGCCCCTTCCAGTCCCAGAAGGGAGCCAGGAGAGATGGGGAGGGACTCTGGATCAGGGAGGGGAGCCATAGGAGGAGGGGGAAGGGGGGATTTAGGTGACATCTCAGGGAGAACTTCTTTGGTGTGAGGGTGGTGAGAGCCTGGCCCAGGTTGCCCAGAGAAGCTGTGGCTGCCCCATCCCTGGAGGGGTTCAAGGCCAGGTTGGAGGGGGCTTGGAGCAACCTGGTCTGGTGGGAGGTGTCCCTGCCCAGGGAAGGGGGTGGCACTGGATGGGCTTTAAGGTATCAGCAGGGGGTGGGACTGGATGGGCTTTAAGGTATCATCTAACTCTAATCATTCTATGATTCTGTGATGATTCATCAACCAGATTCCACTTCAGAGCAGTTACAGCATCACATTGTGTACTCAAGGTCAGAAAACTGTAATTCAGTCAGTCTGCTCCTCTTCTTACACTGTTTCAGTGCAAAATTATGAAGAATTCTTGACAAGGTCTACACATACACATCATTCCTTCTAAAAAGAAGACAGTAAATACGCTGCTTGATGAAACACTGCGTATCAGTTCTTACAGAATCCAACTGGCAAAGAAAGCAGTCCCTTGTTATGCAAAATCCCTGTTTGTAAACAGTGTTCTGCCTTTAAATTGATTTTAATGCTTCGCCTTAGAGAGCTTATACACTTATTTTCTCAACATAGACCCACTACAAGTGCCATCTGGTGGCAGAAGTAAATTAAATCTGCACAAAATGTTGTACGAAATTATTAAGGGGTAAATTTCCAGCAGAATGCAAAGGGGTTTAAACTGTGCAGTTTTCATAAGGAGATTTGTGCACCCAAGTCTGCGTTATAACACATGGGTCACTCTAGGTTTGAAAGATTCCCACACAGACAGGAGAACTTGGAATGAAAATATAACCTGGTCCATGACTGTCATAGCAATATAAATGTCATTTTAGTACAGATATTAGAATGTAATAATTCCCAATTTCATCTCAAAAAAAAAAAAGTAAAAAAAGGTTAAAATTGTTTCACTTCCTGCCCATCTATATAAGCCACCCCTATTCAGGAATTTTCACTAATGGACTACTCAATGCCTTCTTACAGAGATAAACATTTTTTCCTTACTAAAGGGTAAGTACAGAGTACTGCATTGCTACTGTTCAGTTCTGTATATGGTCTATTTTGGTATAAGTGACTTATTACAGATACTCCAAACCTTTAGGTTTTGTAGCCAAGACTTTAATAGATTTCATGCTTGAGCTATTATTACCATGACTTTTATGAAAAGGCGAAAAATCCATTGGGAGAACTGTTTGAGATTCATCCTCTCAAGGTAAATCTAGGGACTTCTTTTTGTGGGAAGGTTTTCTTGTGGTATTTTGGCCTCTGCCGTAAGTATATGCATATCTGGAAATACAGTTTTCTACAGTGATATGTATTTTGGCCAGTTATCACCCATCTGGATCTAAAACCCAGGTTCCATGTTCTTTTCTTAGTAGGCAAGGCAGCATTCAGACTTGAGAAGACATATGCTGTGTGGCAGTGCCACAGCTGTTATGAAATCCTGTCGAGAAGAGAGAGAACTGAATAATAAGGTGGATTTGCTTTCTCTCCTTGTCTCTGGATGTCAGTTCTGGAAGCAGAGTTGCTGACTAAGAAACGGTGTTTGGTGTTGGGTTACAGTTCTCAGAAGGAGCTGCTTGAATGCCTGTGAAAAGCTGGGTTTATATATCAACACCCAGAGAAATAATCCCTGCAAAGTATGGATTTTTCAAACTTCAGGTCACTAATTAATGCCCCACTAAGAAGATAACCTGATTTTTGAATTGAAAAAGTCCTGTTCTAGCTGGAAACACTTCACTCTTAAGAATCGTCATTAAGTGTATTTCAGCAAGCAGATTTTTTTTCAGGCAAAGTGGCTGCTGGTGGTCACACCTGGCTGTGGGCATCTACAGTGATTCTGCCCCTGCAGGGAATATGGGTGGAAGCCAAGTGGTTGGTCCTCTCACCCTTGTTTCCAGTGCTGACTTAGCATGTGCAACTTCTTCTGCTGTTGTGCCACAACAGAGAGAATCATCCCACCCCATCGATTCCTCAATGCCATCCACCTCTCTCTGGATGCTGACTACTTAAGACAAGGTGCAGCTTGTATACACTGTCTTTCAGTTGTGTGGCTGACCCCGTTCCTAGGTGGTACCTCCTGGCTTTCCACACCGGGATGCAAAGCTCTCTGCAGAACAGTACACTGATGTCTGGCCCAAGGACATCAAAGGGTATAAGAGAAAAGTGACCTCCAGCACTTGGTGCAAAACTGAAGGTGCACCTTCTGTTTCTTACTGTCATGCTTTTAAGGATTCAAAACAACCAAAGAAAGGATTGATCGTGGACAACTATAAAGTAAAGGATAAAAAAAAAATAAAAATCAATCTATGTGAAGGGTCAGAAACCCATCCTAGATAAAGCTGCTTTCTGTTGCAGAAACAACAGCAAGGGATGAAGTCATCACTGGATGCCAGCAACAATTGCCTGTTATGCTGCTCTGTGAATCACCCTTCTGAACACAGCTCACACAAACCTGTAATTTTCATATGCGGAATGTCCAATTTCAATGCAGTGATAAGTGAGAGGGAGGAGAGCACGTTGAGTTGAATCACTCACATACGTAAGTGTCAACAGGTACTGTCAAGCAACAAGAACATGACTCAACTGTACAGCAGCCTTGTTTTTGAGGAAGGTCTTTCTCGTAGAATACCCAGTACAGAAAACACCCAGCAGCCCTCCAGCTCACCACCACTTGGCACCAGTGACTCGGGCAAAGAGAGCAAACTGGTAGAGGGCAGCCAGGCTGGCCACAGATCTGCTCAGAAGCCACCATCTCACTGCTAAAAATGCCATCTGAGTCAGGGAAGGTGCAGAGAGGTGACATGTGGCTCTGGGATCCATCTCACTAACTGCGGTGCCTGGTGAAGCTTTACCAGTCTTGGTGCCAGGGTGCACATTTACCAACTCAACCCCTAATGCCATACTTTCTGTAGCCCCGTGACTTCACCATGTGCAATCACTCCTGTGACTGAGGAGTTGAGGGGTTGAGGTGGAGGAGAATGTTGTGGGAGCAGGTTTGGGCATGGTAATGGTGGCTTCGTGCCACCATAGTTCCAAGATTGTGACACAGCAGCCACCAGTGGCCCATGGAGCCTTTTCCCCTTGGCCATTCAACAAAATGGGTCAAGAAAGAAGTGGTGAGGATTTGAAAGGGAAGCACTAACAAGGTGGAAAAGCCCTGTTGCCCTGTTCCCTCTGGGAGGATGAGGCAACAGCCACAAAGGCTCCCACTGCTGTCTGTGTTTCTGTGAGATGGACCTGAGCAGAAGAGCCTGTTGTGCTGCGACATGCTGGAAACAGTACTGTGAAGAGGAAGGTGATGGGGAGCTGCAAAAATGCCTCCCTGGCAATCAGAGTAACAAACATGTTTTTCATACGATAGAACTACAGCCAGTAGCACTTCACAAAATACTTTACAAAATGAACCCAAGTTTAGATTCTAAAATTAGACAAAGAATAAAGGAAAAAAAAGGGGGAGGGGGGGAGGAAAAAAAAACCAAAACCACTGGAGGGAACAATGAACTCATGTAGTTCTCCCATTTCTCCAACATTTTGTTTTTTCTAGTTTAGTAAAGCAATAGTTTATTTGCAATATTGTGCTGGTTTTCTAGGCATCACAGCTAAGAAAGTCCAAAAGCTGCAGTACAAACAGGAAACACAGCATTTGCGTTGGACTGATGAGAAGCCCTACAAACAAAAAGCAACAGCAATAACTGAGGGATAGAGAGCAGCAGGGGGTGAAATCCCTGTGCCAGAGAAAAGAATAAGATGCTAGTATTAGGACAACACAAGGAAATTTCAGCATAGTCCACTGAGGATTTGAAAGTTTTGGAAGTTTTCCCCAGAGAAGAATCTGGAGCTTCAGATCTGAAGTCCTACCAGATTGCTGAGGTATGAACCTGCCCTTCTGGAAAGAGAGCTCACTGGTTGCACCAGCTCTGGTCCTTTTCCATCCAGACATAAGCACACAATGGGGATTCTTTATGTCTATACACCATGCTCTGGAGCTTCTTATGGAGAAGTAATTGCTGCGTTTCTCTAGCAGGACTCGGAGAGGTCCCTGGTGAGCACACCAGGAGCCCAAGGCTCCCTGCACCACAGAGCCTGGCTTCGAACTCCAGCAAACCTGGTGTGGAGACAGGGGCGACCACGAGCACCATTCCTGATGCTCCAGAGCAGGGAAGAAAGGAACCACCTCCTTCCAGCACCTGAATAAAGAACTCATATTTGCTATTGTTTTCCAGCTCTCCTCCACCATTAGGAGGGACACCGCATCAATTAACTCTGAAGTAGTTCCCTGGGAGTGTTTTAACTACTGAGCAGAACTGTTGATACAGAGAGCTTAACAACCACATCTGCTTAGGTACCTCCAGAGCACATTTAAGACTGATTAAAGTCTAAGGATCTAAGTTACTTTCCCTTCTGCGGCCCCTGTTTATCCTCAGTATCTTCAAACCCTCACAAAACAACGTTTATCTTTACTGTAATAAAACTGAGCTTATTTTTAATACGATGTTGTGGTCTTGTAACTTCAGACCCCGGAGCTGGTGATCCCCAAAAGAGTCGGTGATCTTGTCATGGGCTAGTTGCTTCAGGACATAAATGCACGTATACCAGCATTGAAATAAGACATGATCAGTCTTTTTGTTGACTTTAGGCTGCAACTGCCTTTATAAGCTGCCTTTCAACTAACAGGCCAGGGTATAATTTCTCAGTTCTGTCATAAATAGTTTAAAATCTGACCTTACCCTCAAGACGCGCTGTACAGGTGAATTGCTAAGTCCACAGCAATTGAAAGTGTATTTAAATTAACTCTTAATTCTTATCTTAAAATCATTTACATAAAAACTTTGTCAAAAGCATGAAACCTTGACTTTCTGCAGAGCAGTTCCTCTACCTGCTGTGAGCAGTGATTGTCTTAGGGTGGGAATATGTACCCTTTATGTGTGTCAGAAGGGAAAAAATGGAAGATTCTGAAGTTTGTTACATTTTGTATGTATGATATGTATGAGTAATCAGATCTATCTCACCACTGACATATACAATCACAGCAAAAAAATCTGTTGCATTGTGTGGTTTGATACAGTAAGGTAAAATGTATTTTCACCCAAACAACCTTTCTTAGAATTTCAACCAAGCAGTAAATCTTAAACAATCTATGTTTTTTCAGTTGATGTTTTTAAGGGCTCCTTTGGGAGATGAAATGCTAATTTTATGAATGGATACACACCAACACTACTCATGTAATACGCCTTTTAAAATGTAATTTAACATAATGGAAATTTCCTAGGAAGGTAGATATTCATTTTGAAAAAAAATCTGATCATCCATTTAAATTAAATGCGCACAGGTTCATTCATCAATGCAGAATGCAAACTTCTGTGTAGGAGACAGATGCCATAATTTCTACATCGCAAAGTTACTCGGCTGATGTACCACCTCTCTTCCAGGCAGGGGTAGCACTGTCTTCGTTAAGGAAATGCCAGCAGATTAAAATGTTCTCATGGTTCATAAAATAGTTTAGCGCGTGGTTCGACAGCATTATTACAAATGTTGGGAAGCCCGGTGCATTTGAAGCTTATGCTCTGCATTTAAATTAAAAAAAAAAAAAAAAAAAGTTGCTTTCAACCACAGGAAAAGATGGGAATGTCATATTCATCTGTTGATAGATGCAGTTATAGCCATTATGTAGTAGTTATGTGGTGCTTTCCTGTATGGCCATATTTCAGCGTAATCATCGAAGTTTTGGCAGGGATGGTGTATGTTCCACCCACTAAAACAATTTATCTCCAGGTAAGTATGACAATAAGAAGATACTTAAAAGGAGGGGAGAGAGGGCTGTGTGAAAGACAGAAAAGCTTCCCCTCTCTTTTAGTTCGTCTGTGAAAACAGCACAAAGATTCTTAATCTTTTGTAGATGAGTGCACCTGACCTGATTATAAATAACATATATTAATATGTGCCAAACTAATTTCATTTATGGCCACGGCTGGTAGCCAAAAATCTACATAACTATACGGGGGCTATTCAAATCAGTGCTTTAGCTTGGTGTCAGCATATCAATTAATTATATATTGACTTTTGCCGTGCATCTTTGCTGAAATAGTGCGCAACTGGGAATTTGGCCCCCAAGTTCTGCAGCATCTGTTGAATATTTACATCCAGCTTCTGAATACAAGCTCATTTGGGTGTTTTTGGCTTGAAGCGCGGGCAGAGGAGTTAACATCTGTTTGCAAAAGGCCAGGCGATCAGATTGTACCCTGCAAAGTACATTTGGTTATGGAGTGGCCTAAGGGAGAGAAGGTGCCATGCCTGGGTGCAATTAGACAAGAATCATTATAGATGCATGTATTAATTCTGTGCAACAAAATAAAGAGAAGGGAAATATGTGTCTTTTCATAAATGGATACTGTATTTTGCTGACTAAAGCGGAAAGTGGAGATAAGTTTTCCTTCCTATTTCTGATTTTTACCGGAAAATCTGTATGTTTACTTACCCATACATAAACTCAAACGCAGCGAGAGGAGCTGTTATATGAATATTAAGCCTGTAAGAAAGAGAGTCCCCCTTTCGCACTGAATATGTCAAGTCTCATTGATTTTAACCGTTCCTGAGGATGTGCAGCTCCTTGCCAGGCACAGAATAATTTCTGTGAAAATCTGTATAAAGCGTGTGATTTGAATGTGAGCGTAGAGGTGCTGCAATGAGTACCTTAGAAGTTGCTGAAGGTAAGGGAAGCAAATAAAAGTATTAAATTAATGGGAACATATTTTGGGAAGTGATGATCGAAGAGGAATAAAATAGAGGATGTGAAACTGATGTGATGTTTTAAAATGAGATTTTCTAGTCAGGGTACAAATATCTATTACATGGAGCTTTAATAAAATTTATGCCCTCGCAGTGCTATATAAATCTAGAGCAGAAGACAGATTTAATCCCATTAAATATTTGTCGGGGATTTAATGTAGTAGATAATATAAGAAGCGCTATTGGACCTGGCATTACAATTATCCATTTTTACCAAACACCGATGGCCATGGCCTCAAAAAGAATTTTGCTTGAGAGAGGGCTCAGTGATTGGCCTTTATATTTCTTTTAATTTATCACAGTGTGATGTTAGTGCTGCTATTGTTTTCTCAGCTCTTTCAATCTATTAACAGTGAAGCAGGCTTGCTTTCCTTATTACAGAGGTGTCCAGCTGAAAGCCTCTAATGGGAGTATTTCTATAATCTTCCTTTTAACAGAAACGTGGCAATTTGACCTACTGATTCTGGATGTTTTTTCCTATTCAAGAGCAGAACATCATGAGCAGCCTCCATGTGGTTAAAAGGCTGCTGCCAAAACCAACTCCCTTTGCTAAGGGAGCGACATACACTGATTCTGCAGCCCATTTCAGCCAAAACCTGGCTTCCAGCTTGCCCGTATGTGTTATTTTCCTCTGTCATCCCAACTTTAATGTTGGCTGAAAAAAAAAAGTACAATAAATAAAAAAGTTTTCAGCTCTGCAAACGTGGGGGAAGTTTTCCGTTATGCCCAAGAACTTGGGATGGATGAGGCATTACTTAATTTCTTCTCATTAGAAAGCCATTTATTCATATTCATTTATATGGTTTGTTTGTTTTCCTGAGGACATTTTTCTGCAGTTCTGCACAACTGCCACCACACAGCAAATGGGAAGTGGCTTTTAAGAATACTCTACTCTGCTGACCTCAGAAGTTTAAAGCCTCTGGGTCACCCTAAATCATCCCTGTGGCAATTAAAATGTTGAGAATTCAGATACTCGGTTGTTTGGGGTTTACTGAATGTTCTCCTAATTAAGTAAAACTTGAATTAATTCATTCTTCAACTTTGATTATTCTCTTGTTTAATGAATTAATTCATTCTTCAACTTTGATTATTGTAGCAACTCATCTGCTATCAAAGCAAGAAACTGAAAGAACACTTGGTGATTCCTGATCCTAAACATCACTGATAAATGTACACTTTGTGGCTGAAGCAAACAGGTCATGGCTTGTGGTTTCACTGCAATTCATTTGATGAAGATGACTATATGTAAAATGAGTATTTCCAACCTGTGGCCACTCATAAAACTTTCTTTTTTTTTCCACTCGTGCATAGTGAAAGTTATTTTTGAGAACTTCTACTGCTGTGCTGTGTAACCACTCATCAGGTGATGTTTTCTATATAACAATGGAAGGAAGTAGACAAAAAAAAAATGTGTTATCATAGACTAGAAGTGTTTTGGAAATTCATGCCAGGTTCCACACGAAGATAAATCATATCCAGACTGTCAAAGCATACATTTTCAACTGACAAGTTATCAGCAACCCATGAAATAGTGATACTACTCATATCTGTTGGAAGTCAAACCACATGTTTATCAGTTCTTTCTCTGTGGATTTAGGTGATCCTTTCTAGGATTTCCAGTTTTAATATGAAGAGGCAAAGTAAAACCAACACAGAAAAGCTAATTCACTCTCCAGCAAGAAAAGAAAGACACAGTAGGACATAGGGAAACCCACTTTTCCTGTTTTTTAAAGAAGAAGATGGAATTTTGCTTCCTTCCATGTCTTTGGCACCACGTTTGAACTACAGTATCTGGAGAGGAAGGATGTGCTGGGACTCGGGGCGCCTGGGTTCAAGTCCCCACAGCTTCCTGAGTGATGAGTAAATGAACAAAACTGTTATTTCCTCTTTGGAGTGGGGCACTTGGAGACACGAAAGTCATAGCTAAATAGAGATCCTCTGGTAGGGTCAAGTCTTCATGGTGTCTCCGTGGTTGCTTTAATGCCAAACTGTGTTGTGCTCCCTAATGCTCAAGAGTGAAGATCCTGGATATTTGTCTCGGGGGGAGGCGGGGGGTGTCCACATAAGAGTTTTTCATACAAACTATTTGGACTAAAACAATGAAATTCTGAAAACATACCAGATCTATGGTGCTTTACTTGCTGTCCTGTTCACTGGTTGCTGGTCTTGGCTTTCAGGTCACAAACTTTTTACTTAAGCCATTCGTATCTGAATTTCACCCCGAGCTGATGGAAAGCACACACACAAACACAAACATGTCCCAAGCTCCACATCCATTGCTTTTCCCCTGATCCTAAACATTTTCCTTCTTCGCAACAGGATGAAGCTGAGACTTGAATATTTTTTGTGGTAATGGGGTGGGAGGGAAAGGGGTTGTTCCCAAGGAATGTCTTGGAATTTGGGTCATTCTTTTTAAAGAAAAAAGATTCAACTTTAATTTACAGTCCGAGTTGAATCAGGATCTTGCACATGGCCCTGAGTATAGCCTATTTATGTCTAAATGTAGCCCCTCTGCTCCACTGGAAACCATGGACAGTCCATTACACAATGAAAGTTTATCTAAATTCTCATAGTGAAAGACAGATATTCGCTTGAGAACAGTGTGTATGATTTTAGTGCTTGTATGGATGGGAACAGGCTGTGTATGAATCTCTGGTGTGAATTCACAGATACGCGTTAGGTCTTTTCCATCACAGATCATTGCAG